ATGTTACTCTGGTTTCGCTTCACAAGGAATACATTTTTCGCCTTTAACTAGATCTAGCCTAAAGATTTCCGTGGAGAGGAGCAAATAATAATATATTGACTCAATAGACGCGTACGATGTTGAAGCGTTCTTAGGTACGCCCATAGATTTACACTACTCGAAGAGGAGAATTCTATGCGTGCGCCACGTCACCTGAACAGAATGACAAGCACTTTGCTGAAGTCTTGCATAGTATGTGAGGCGTCGTTGTGAAATCAAGAGCTCGTCAAAATAATGAAATCAGAGAAACTGGCATTTTTTGGGCTAGTTTGGACATTTGTTTCAAAATTTTTTGGGGGCTCAACACCTAGTATGTTCATCAAAAAACACTTTTATGTGAGGATTTGTGGAAAAGCATTGATTAAAGGCACACAAAAATGTAAATTTGCAGTTTCCAAGGACTCTTAAGCTGTGGAAGTCACCAAACTTTGGTGGCCATTTTCTCGCTAATTATACTTCTGAAACCAGGCCACCCCACCTCCTTCAATCGCAAATATCTCGACTTCTATTCAAGATAAATGGGTATTTTTTTCACTGAAGGCAAGGCAAATGGACAGGCTTTAAGATTATATCAGTAACTCCATACGCCCAAAAATTGACGAGCGACTGATTTCTCTGCGTCGTGACACATGTCATTATCCAGTGATAAACGTTCTGTTGTTGCCTCATGACGTAGAGCGGTTGATGTGCCTTTCCTCAGGTCGCAAGAGACATCTCGGCCCTCCTCTCTTTATTTTACCGGGTGGTTGGAGGAGGGCAACAGTATCACTGGTGGGTTCTACTTCTTTACTTTCCCTCTGTTGTTCCTGTCTAAATATCTGTCTGTCTTACCTTTTTCCCCAGCACTAAATGAGTGTTATTGTGTCGATGTGCTTCTCTTTACTCAAGCAAACTCTGTATTTGATCCATGTTGGTTTCATGCGGGGGCTGTATCGTGTATGGCCGTGGTTTGAGTTTCCAGCTGAGTGTATGTTGACTTAGGTTGTGGTTTTTTTAAAGCTCTCCGCCAGCTTGGCTCGGTCCTGCAGGCGGTGAAAGCCAAAAATTATTTCGGAAATCTCGCGTCTGTTGTAAGGGGCGTTTGACCCAAACTTCACGGATACTATCTCTGTCGTTTTAGACTAAGTGTCACGAATCCTTTCAATGCGTGTGTTTTTGTTTTTGTTTGGTTTGGAGTTGTTTTGTTTTTTTGTTGGGGTTTTTGTTTTGTTTTGTTTGGGGGGGGGGTTGTTGTTATTTTTGTTTAGTTCTGTTTTGGGTTTTTTCCGAACCGTTTATTCCAAATTATACACTATACAGACACTGTCTCTGTCGTTTTCACTGTCACGAATCCTTCTTTTATGTGTGTTTTTGTTTTATTTTGTTTTTGCTTTGTTCCGTTTTGCTTTTTTTTTTTCAGAAGCGTTTATCACAAATGTCGGTGTATCTTCGTGGCTAAACAAACACATTGCATCAGCTTTGAGAGTGCACTTTTTCCTGCTGAATAATGCAGGCCTTGGGCTGCGGTGAGTGACGACCTGGACTGGGTCTCTTCTGGGATATCATTGCACCTTCGCGATCTTGACAGTGGGGCACAGTACACTGTACTTCAAGAATAATACATGTAATTGATTGTTGCCACGTGTTACCGTGATGGTCAGCACTTTTGTCAAGACTCAGTATCTACGTGTACGCGAAGCACCACCTCAGGCTCTGGCTATTATTTGACTGAGGTCTTGGGATCTTACTTTCAACGTTTAGATTACGAAACCTGCTCTATGTGTTCAAAATAGCGCTGAATCGGGACCTTGCTGATAAGAATTTAACGAGTTTTGGACGGAAATTCGGTCCGAGGTGAATATATGTGCCTAGCATGCTTGTACTACACGTATGTATAACGCGTATATTTGGGATAATATTAATCTTGTTCATATTTTCGCTCGTGTGTGTGCGTTGTTGGAGGGCGCCACTGGTAGGCCTTACTTCTTTAATTTTCGTCTGTTTTTTTTTTTTCGTCTGCATGTCTTACTTTTTGAGTTACTTTTTCCCAGCGCTAAACAACCTTTATTGTTTTAATGCGATGTTCTTCTCTTTACTCAAACAAACAAAGAAACATCGTTCGTGTGTACCATATGAGGCTGGTCTAATTACTTGTTACGGCTGTCCAAGTTTTCAAAACTGCTTTAATATTCTATTTTTTGGGGTTAGTAAAATAATTAATAGACGAGCTGTAGCCTAGTGGGTACTCTGTTTAGCTCTCAAGGTTAAAGATTTTACTCAGCCAACAACACACATTATACCGTATACATGATGTATTATTTTGAGAGGGCCTCAAGTGGTTGGTTTTCTCTCTTTCTTTCTAATTCTCAGCCCCGCAA